TCATGAGTCTGGTTCTGCTGGCGGGTTCTTTCTGTTAAAAAGGAGTTTTTCTCTCCACTGTCGCTACAAGCATGCTTAGTATAAGGGATAGCCTTCAGTCAATGAATCAATGCAATCAACTGGTTTTCCTTAGACAGAAAACTTTTAATCAATTTGACTGTGTGATCTGGTAGAACAGTAAAGTGCCTTGAGATGACATGTGCTGTGAATTGGCGCCATAGAAATAAACCGAACTGAAAGGAATTAATAAACAAAATAATATAATCTTAAGAAAATTAACAAATTGTGGGCATCATGATGGTGTGGTTAGTATAGGAAAATCTAAGCATTACTACCACAGTAATCTAGTTTTGTTTGAGTTGGCTGATCAACAGAAATAGCTCAATGCTATTTCTGACATTGAAAAAGCTTCCTGAATGGGAAGCAAAACCTACTCAAACTTGGAAACTAAGTCCACTGGATTTTTTTTTTTTTTTAAAGTTGTTTTGGAATCACAGTCAAACAGGAAGAGGCATATGAAGCTACTATGACAAGAAAAAGCAGCTTGACAATAAAGTTATGGGTGGAACTAACAAATTCTGCAGAATGGGAGAATAGAGATAGAATGAAGCAGAATGATGAAAAGGTGTCCCTATGTCTTCCAGCAGCTTCAACATATAGCAGCATAAATAAGAAAATAGGGCAATATAATCTAACTATTTTGTATGCGGTATGAGAAAGCTAGAGCAAAAATAACCACAAAAGCAGCTAAAAAGTACCTTGGAATAAAGGAGGTATCTGTCAATCAATGCAGTACTGACATCAGGGATAACTGAAAGTCAAACAACTATGTGGAAGTGAGGTTGGTGGTATTGCAGATACTATAGTAAAATACTGTAGTAGGATATTGTTTCCTGATGGACAGAGATTTACACGATGTATTGAAAGAGCAGTAGGTTAAAGTAAACATTGTTTTTCTGACAAAATAAAACCTGTTAAACAATCTCTTGATTTTGCAAGCAAGACCCCTAA